CCGCGGCTCCCTCGGCGCCGGGCTGTGTCGCATGTAGAAGGTATAAACGGCCAGTTCGTTGAAGAAGAAGGTATTCACTGTTTTCTACTTAAATTTTTACCGTGGTATAAGTTTCCTGTCTTCCGTTTAGTCTGAGCGGCGGGGAGCCTTGTCGGCTGAACCCTTTCCCCCCAGCGCGCGCGCGCGCGACCCGACCTTCTTTTCTGCTCAGTTTACCCCGCCTTTGATTGTGAATGTGGATGTGCACATCGATGAGCAGGCAACCGCAGAGCGGCGGCGGCGGCGCCCTCAGGCGACAAGCTGGGCGTCAAGGAGGCCCCCCTGGGTTCGAACACCCCAGCCAGCAGAGGGCCAATGCAGCGCACCAATGCAGCGCACCGCTCTGCTGGCTCTGCTGCGCCGGCTACGCCCGGGCGCCGGCGTGGTCCGGGAGGCTGCCTTGCGGGGAAGACGATTAGGTGCTGCTGCGGCGGCCCGGCGGCGGTGGCTTATGGACTCCGTACTGCTCTGCGGTTTCTTCCACCAGGGATACAATTATCTCACCCCTTTTCTTCTTACCTCTTTCTCCCCGCTAAGAAAAAGGAACTTTAGGCAGGCAAACAATGAGTGGCTCGTGGTGGGCCAGGCCTGACGGAGCAAGGAGAGAGAGAGAGAGAGAGAGAGAGAGGGGGGGGGGGCAGCGTGCGAGCACATTTTGCTGTGAACTTCCACTGCCACCTTCACCTACATAGGCAGCCACCAGGATTTTGTTCATCTTTAGTAAACATCGAAACTCAGTATGCACACAGAAATCTGCTGGGGCTGGTTACAAAAATTCTCATTAGATATTTAGAGTGAGCGCAAGAGACGTTTGATTATCAAAAAAAGAACAATGGCACAAAGTGGTACAGCTTCTTTATTCATTAGTACTTCGCTGTACAGCTAATAGATTTGATGAGCAGCCAAAACAGTTTCATTTGGTCTAAGAGATTTGGCTGGACTGAACGCAATTAAAACATATGCAGTAATGTTCAAAACATTTGTGAAAAGGCATGGCTATTTTTCTCTTTTCTTTTGATTTTGATGTGACTCAAACAGACTCGAATTATCCAGAACGGGTCACCTTTACGGCGAGTGACGAGTCAACAATGTTTGACCCCGGGCTCGCGACCCGCCTCGGGGTCGTCCCTAAAGGTTTGAGCAATCGCCTGTTATTTTAATTTTTTTCTCCTCCCTAAATCCAGCTCATGGCAAAGCCCGGGTCGTGATAGAATCTTAGACGGCTCCGGCGGGAGGCGCGGGCGGCTGACGGGCTGGCGGCGGCGGCGAGACAAAAGACGATCGAGTCACTTGCAGTGCCGCCCGGGCCCGGCCCGCCCTGCCGCCCTGCCCGGCCTCGTTTGCGCAACGGGATAAAAATGTGAGGGAGACAATTTCGAAAATCGCCTGTCTGCCCCGCCAGCAGCTGCAAAAATAAGTGGACAGCAGATTTGAGCGAGAGGCTCGGCTCTGGGGGTTCGGGGCGCCTGTCACGCTCCGGGTAGGCCAGCCCGCACGACGCGCGTGCGTGTTGCGGTCGAGTTGGCCTACCCGGCAGGCGCTCGGCGAGTCGCGCGCCGGCGTACAGAGAGAGAAAGACCAGAGCGCCGCCGCGCCTGGACTTGGAGGGGACGTCCGGGGATGCCCGCGGAGCTCGTCTGAGCACCCTAACGTCACGTGTATGGGATCGGTGAGCGGACGCGTCCTGCCTTGCATTGCTCTGCATTGCTCTGCCTTGCCCTGCCTTGCCCCGAGGGGGAAATCACTAGCGTTCGTAGCGTACGGGCTATTTCGTGGCATTTCTCCTGCCATTTCGGTTATTTCTCGCCCATTTCGGATTATTTCAGGGTATTTCGCGGTATTTCAGAGTATTTCAGGGGTATTTCGCGACTATTTTGCGTCTATTTCGGGTCGGTAGTACGAACTATTTCGCAAGTGATTTCCCCCTCGCCTTGCCCTGGCAGTGCTCTGCCTTACCCTGCCTTGCCATGCCTTGCTCTGCTTTGCCCTGCCTTGCCCTGCCCTACCCTGGCGTACCCTACCGCATGCCGTGCTACGCCCTGCCCTGCCCTGCCGTGCGGCTGCGCTGTCCTTCAGCGTCGCAGACATGATGATGGCGGCAGCTGAGCACCGCGCGCATCTCGAAGAAAGTGAAGTGTGAGGAGAGAAAAAAAAATAAGAAGAGAAAAAAAGAAGAAGAGAAAAAAAACAACACGTGCCTCAAGGGAATGACAGAGGGAAGACCTGGGCGCCACAACCACATTTCGCACGCCGAGCATTACACCTTTCCCCGCCCCGCCCCGCCACGCGCCGGCCAAGGCCGGTCGAGGTCGCGGTCAGACGCCGCCGCCGCCGCGTCGTGCCGTAACTTTTGGCGCGAAGGGAATGCCCCCTTTGAGCCCACGCCTCGGTCCCCGCCGGGCCGGATGCGCCCCGGGGAGCTTGTTGCGCGCCCCGCTGCTGGACGCTCCATTTGGATCGGTGCGCGCCGCGCCTGAAGCGCGTTTTACTCGTTTACCCTTACTCCGGTGCAGCTAGATTGTCCGACCTATTTTTCTCCAACCTGGTGATTTTTCCAAAATCCCCTAAAGTGCTTTCCGACCTAGGTTTCGTCCGACCAAATTTTCTCCGACATCGTCGATCTGCTGAAATTTGGGAAGAAAATGTTGCTTCAAGGAGGAACAGGCTGCAGAGGCCATGAAGGGGTACTTTAAGTGCAGTGAGGGAAGACCGCGACTATGACGAAGTGCAGCCCCACGTCACAGAACAGTCAAAAAAGTCGTCTCGGCGCCGTAAATGTTCAAAATTTTTTTTTTTTTTTTTAAATGCGGGAGTACGCCCCTCACTTCGCAGTCAGCGGCGACTTCTGAGTTGTGACGGGGATCAGCCGCTTCCAACCACAGTGCTCAGGACATACTCCCGTTTGTTGGACTTACAGGTGTCGCAAGACTGAAACCCAGATTCCGAGGCCTTACCTCCGAGAGAACTGTTTATCTTTTTCCGTCCGCGGGGTGCGCGGGTATCGAACCCACAACCCCGAGTGCCGAACCCAATCCTCAATTTCAGCGACCCTGTCACCAAAGCTACCAAGCCAACGGAGGTCGGCAGTGCCCCGATTCTACTTGAACTTTCAGGTCGGCCCTGAGGCCGTACACCAAATAGGTAATTGGTCGGACAATCTAAATACACCCTCTTAACTGGACACAGCTGATACCACGTCCGTCAAAGGTGTATTTTGTGTTTCCCGCTGCAGAGTGTGCGGACGGCGCTGGGGGCGGGCGCCGCCGCCGCCTCGCCCCGCGGGGCCCGGGCTGCAGCAGGTCTCCCCACACCGCCGAGGTCACAGGCCGTCACGAATTTGCTGACTGCTGCACCGCTGGCCCCACCAGGGCTGCTACTGGCTGCTGCTGGGCTGCAGAAGACCCCACGCCCCAAACTTACCCACTGCGCTTCTCAAAAGCAAGCCATTAGGGTTACGACAAATCTGCGACAAAGTGACAAACGGACGGTGGCGGGGCGGGAGTGAAATGGATAGGCGGCCAGAGGCGGCCGGGCGGAGGAAGCATTAATCACGGGCTGCAACCAGCGCAACCGAGCCCGGGAAATTTGAAATTTCGGACACGAGTGTCAAGTTTATCATATGATAAATAACCCTTTTCTTGCTGACAAAATTATGCCTATCGAAACATATCTGTTTGTATGGGTACGGTGCGTGTTTTCCCACCGCAGCTCAGACGGACGCCACCGAGAGGCCGGGCCCAGGAGGCTGGGAGCTCGGCCCGCTGGGGCTGAAGCTTGTGCAACGCGTCGCAGGCAGGCACCCATCACTCAGCCAAAGTGATGGCGCCCTAAGCCAAGGAATCGGGCGGCGTTCAAGTCAGGTAAAAGCAGGGCGGGCTGCTCTTTTTGAGCCTAACACGCGGCAGAACGTTCAAACGGTAACCAGCTACCACCAGTAGCTCCCTCTTCACCTTTCCAAGTCCGAACATATAATGCGGCCCTCAGACCCCAGAATATTTCGTACGTATACTGCACTGCTTGCATCCGTGCGAGTTGGCTTGCCTACCGTCTCGGCGCCTGGGGATGATGGCTCCTTGCGAGTGGGCAACCTTGCCTCCGTGCGTTGCAGTAAGTGCAACTAAATTATACCCCGAGGTCTGTGGGCCACCCTGTGCGAACTCTCTTTTACTTCATTATTTGGAAATTTGTAAGGTAATGTAATGAAATTTGTAATATTGTGACGGGGATGTGTTTTGACGCCTGTGACTTCTCTGCCCGAACCCTTCCGACACTGAGAGTGATGGAATAAAAATGTTACGGGCACAAATAAATTTAACATCACAACGCGTGGCCACAACTTGCGTTGATGTTACCCGCACGCTAGCACAGAGGACACAGTTGCGTCACAATTATAATTAGTGATGTCAGTGTCAAGATTTGGTCACCCTGGTGGCCTGTGAGTAGCCTGTCTTATGGTACTTTTCATACTAAATGACATCACGTGACGTCAGAATGACGCCTAAGCAGGTCATTCAAATGACCAAATCATGGCACTGACATGACTTGATGTCATTTTGACGAAACCGTGTTCTCTGGGAAGCTTTGGCCCAATTGGAAACTAATGTCAAAACGATATCGTTTCAGCGTCGATTACACCCCTCCTCGACACAGCGTTTCAAAACTACTTTGACTGTTACTTTTCGTTACTGCACGGAGATCGCTGGACAGTAGGCCATGACGATTTGAATTCAATAACTTTCAAAGTAACCATTCCAAGATCGTTACCTACAAGTAACAGTTTTCATTGTACCCAGTATTTTCTTGTGTATTTTTTTTTCAACTTCCCGCGCTGTCGGGTCTCGGGGTAGCGCTGCGCGTACCCGTTTCTCTCCGCGCGGTGTAGCGCCGCCGCCGTGGTACCGCCGC